GAGAGATCTCATCCAAGCTTCATACAGTAAACTCCATATCCAAAGCCTTGTTAAAGCTCAAACCTATTTCGAAGTAAAGTACAAGCTGGACTTGTGTGTTTGTGCATTTGTATTGTTGTATTGAATGTTTTGTATGTGGATGAGAATATTGTATAAAGGATATTAATCCAGAATAAGAACTTGGTTCTTTTATTCTCGACTCAGTCCTGTAATAGAAAGGACAACATATCTCAAATAGCAAACTTTTCACAGATCTTTAAAGTTTTAGGTAATTTTTATGATGGATTTATTTTTTAACAGTATATAACAATTCTTTGGAGCAAAATCCAGCTGCAAGAATAAGTTTGGTTCTGAATTTGTTACAGCAAATTAACATTGAACATTGCTGAAGTTTTTCATTCATCAACAGAATACTTTTTACAAAAAAAATATAGCTACAATTATTACATCAATACAGATGAAGCTGTGATTTTTTTGTTGATTGAAATGGAGGTGAGGATCATATAGGAATTAGATTCATGAACTTCTGTTTTACCACACAAATATTCCAGCTCCTGATTTTCTGAATGAATATGGAAATACCTCATTTAGTATAAGTAGCAAACCTATTCACATTGGATCTAGCTTGTGAGTGCATAGCTAGATGTGAAGGTGACTGACTCTCACTCAGATGGCCCCAGTTTGAAACCTGGGAGCATCATCAGGACAGCAGATTCAAAGCAAGGGAGATGAAGCAGCAGCAAGGAATATTGTGAACAGAAAGCACACATATGGAGTAAAGAAGAAAGAGGAAAGAGTATAACACAAAAGGCAATATGAAGAAGTAAATAGTTTCAAGGGAATGGGGAATTTATTTTCAATTTTTTTAGGGCTGTCAGATGTTGGGACAATACCGTTGGCATCACCTTGGGAATGCGTTTGCCAATGGCAATTGAATGGTAGGCAATATTGCCCTTTTTTATTGCCTCTCAGGCTCAACGGTTTCAGCCCCCTTGGTGATGGGTTCCAATCCCGTTTCAAAACGCCCCCTGCCAACGCTAGGGGGCAGGGCGTTGAGTAAAGACCAAGATGACGTTCTCACAATGGTCTTGCCCTAATGGCATGAGAACGCCCTCCCAACGCATTTTGCAATGTCCAAATTATTTGCTGGGTTTAGATTAATCTCTTCATTGATATTCATCAAGATTGCTGATATGGATTGGAAACAGGAGATTGATGGGTTACATTAACTTGAGACGCGCCTGATTAATTTGAATATCAGTTTGTCTTCAGTTAATTAACTGATCTCTCTTGATTTCATTGGAGCTGCAAGAATTCTTTAAAAGGACTGGACTATGGAGATGGTATTTGGCTTGAGGGATGTGGAGTTTCTCTTGTTTAGAAAGAAGTTGAACTTGACATCACTTAGCTTCCAAGTATTTGGATTCGTTGTGAAATTATATGTTCTATGATGTATATATCAGTGGATGTGGATTGAAATACAATAAAAAAAAGTTAATTTTTTTTTACTTTCTAATTTTATAATTTCACAACCAATTGAATAAATCTTCAACAGATGGGTAATTGGGTTCTCTCTGATTAACTGGTTGAACCAGAATTGGTTGTATATAATCTCCGTAAGGTTTATGCAGTATAGTCATTTTATATTCACATTCTGTACATTTTACTATCAAACAAAACATTCTGCTTTGTCCTGAAACAGGACAAAACACATTGTCCAATGGACAACCACAATGATGAGTGTTGTTTTCTACCCATCTTGCAATGTCCTTATTGTTTTCATCAGCATAAAACATTTTTTCCTTTTGTGTCTCTGTGGATATAAAACCTCATGGTTATTGTAGTTGATCTTCACCATAGGTGTGTTTGCACACTTTAAATGTATATGGGCAATTAGGGCATTGGAATATTATAAATTCCAGCCCTGGAAAAAATGATATGCATTGTTTTTCCCGGAACAGGATTGGATAACCACAGTGGGTGTATCCAGTATCAATTCTTTCTATGATTTCTTCAATACATTGGGTATCATCACTGTGTTGCATGTTGCTGTATTGCAGAAACATTCTGTTGCAAAAATATATAGAAATGTAATATTATAACATTATTATCTACATTATTTATAACCTCCAATGATTATATTTAGGATATGTTTTCTTTCCTTTAATTTCATGATGACAAAACTGGCAATGGAATTTCATTAGGCTATATCCAGGCCAGTTGAAGCATCAATTTGTATTGGTATATTTCACATTTTTCCCACAATGTTTATTTGTGGATTTTATTATTCTGATCACTTCATTTCCAGAATAAGTTCCATCAAAGAATTGCATTTTTGCTAAGAAGGAAACATCAGATTATATTTATTGATCCCATCGTTTGGAGGGTTTTCGATATTCTCCATGAACTATTTTTAATATTCAGAATTGAGAACCACTAATTTTGCATTTAAACAATAATATTGATTTTCCATATCCTTTCGAGATTTTCTTTATTCGAATAAATCGTACATTATTTTTGCAATTTTAATTTTCTTTTGAATTCCTAAAATTAATTTAGCATTGGAGGACAATCCGTCATAAAAATACATTTTCCTAAAAGCGTATTTTCACACTCATGTCTGTAAAACTTTCAATGATACACTTGTATACATAATAACTTTTTAGGGTTCTCTTCCTTCACTTCCTATCATCACTCTTGGTCCATTTTGGGGTGGAATATAAATTTCTTCATCATTGATTATATCAGAATTATTAGGGGTACTATCAGTTGTGGCGGTATCACTGTCACTATTTACATCTGAATTAACAACATAGCCATCATTATTGGCCCATTGAACTCGCTTGAACCTACTATTCCCATCAAAATAAACATATTTTACCTGAGAACATGCTAGCAAAACACATACTAATTTTAACATTTGTTGAGGTAATGGTAAACTCCAAACATTCATTATCATGTAATGGTGTCTATAGAAATGAGTCATGAATCTTTCTAAGGCTTCTGGACCAGGAATGAAAAACATTGTCAGAATAATCTAATCTGCTTCCTTGCAAGCAGAAATCAATACTGAGTTTTCTTCCTCAATCTTTGACTCTTTTGAGGTCCTTTTTGAATTTTTATTCTGTTTATCATATTTTTGTTGTTCAGCTATGATGGCTGTGTCATATTTTATAACTGGTGGACGTTCCCTACTTCTTTTTATTGGAACGTTATTTTGAGTTTCTGGATTGTGAAGGACATTTGAGCCTTTGTTAGTATCAATTTTTTCTAGGTCAGGATTCTTGTTAATGTGTGAATCGATACTGTTGGGTAATTAAGTACTTCGCTGATTAGGCGCAAATGCTTGTGGAAACGTACAGGCTGTTTCATTAATCAGGTCGTAAAAAGTTTCAGTACTTGGTTCAGTATACTGGATACTCTTAAAGGACTTCCTGGTCGTTCTGTCACTTGTTCTTCCTTGGTCTCTTTTGACAAGTTTTCATTATTTTAAAAATTTATTTATGCTCCTCGTAGCAGCAGCGGTTTTTTTCTTCATAAATTTTAATATCCCTTTATTTGTACGAGAAGGTGTTTTATTCCCAATTTTGGGTGTTTTTTCAATCCTGGTTTCTGGAACATCAATTATTCTTGACTCTGGTGTTTTTATGATTTTTCCCGGTCTTGGTGGATCTACTC